TTCTTTCTAACACAAGGACACAAGAAATATTGGATCAGATGAAGGGTCTATCTAATCTAGCATTCTGTTCACACATGTTCCTCACAAGCAGGAAGAGTACTTGTGGGCTTCTATTTCTTGGTTTGACCTCACAGAGGTGGGTGTTTTGGCTGCCTGGGTGCCTGAGTTCTATTTTGTGGTAATCCGCATTTGGCACTATGAACTTCTAAGCCTCCGCAGTGGCTTTGCTAGATGTCTCGAAAGAGGACAGTTCAAGTGGTGGGATGATGAATGAAGAACGAGCATTTGTGCTCTGGCCTTTGGGATCCCTCCTTGTTGGGCAGGGTAATACAATCATGATAAATGGTGCTGATACTGTATTGGGTAGGATCTTGAATTCCATGTGTTTCTTTCTGTCAGGGTACACATGCTTTGCCCATGCCTGATCACAACCCATACAACAAACTCATCAGAGAACCGGGGCTGCTTTTGAGAAGGATGTTCAGCAGTTGACAAATTCACTAACTATTGAGGTGGCTTTCCGACTAGGTTGCCCCTGCCAAGACTTCTGGGTGTGCTTGTGTGTAGACAGAATGAAGTACGGAAACAAAAGTCCTACCATTAGCAGTTCTGACTGCACATGATTAGCAAGCACCAGTCCAAATACCAGGGTCTTTATGTTGCCTCTAGAACAGGCTCAGTGTTTGTCAAATCTCCTGAATTTATCAGCTGTGGCACAGCAGCCAATAATACCTTTCAGCCCTCATTATTAAGAGTTTCTGTATGACTGGGATCACAAAGAGCTCAAAACTTGTCTAAACTTGTTCCTTCACTTTCCTGCTAGAAATGTTTAGCTTCTCACGTGTGTAAATATACATGGTGGTGCAGTAAGTTCCTCCATCCACTGTACAGGCTTGGAAATGGCTCCACAGAAATACCATGATCGTTGTACATCAGTGACTTAAAAGGAGAGGGTGGAAAGGGAGTGAACCAAATATCTGTCAGTGCATGAATGTTTCCTTGCTTGGGGGTAGTGTCAGTTCCAGGTTTTGGAGGGTCTCTGAACAAAACACCCTCAGTGGGCTCCTTCTGTCCCTTCCCATCACTGCTGCTCCCAGCTAGTCTTCCTGCCCCCTTTCATCGCTGATTCTGCTTGCTTGGCAAACAGAGGGTCAGTGAGTGAGGAGGCAGTGGCAATGGATGCTTTTTGTCTCGACCAGGTTAACACACAGGTTGCAGTCAGTGCCAAAGAGGGGGAGCACAGCAGGGGTGAGTGCTGAGGCGTGGGCCCTCCGCAGGTGCCTGTTCTTCACTCCAGCCTGGGTACTATTCGTACTTGTCAGAAGCACACTATCGTTTCAAGCCTGATCCAGACATGTTCTCTTGGGCTTCAAGCATTATTGCAGAAATAATTGATTGGCGAGTTTAAAATGCAACGGCTCTCTACTGCTGAGGTTGTGGTGTTATCGCTCCCTTAGGCCTATCAAACAGAAGAACGTAAGAGGAGCCCTGTGGGATCAGGCCAAGGGTCCACCTAGCCCAGCATCCTGTTCCCAGGGTGACCCACCAGCTGCCCCAAGTGGGACGTGACTGCAGCAGCATCCTCCCGCTCATACTCTCCAGCAACTGGTGGGCATCATGCCTCTGGTACGGGAGGTCAAATATGGCCATCAGCACTAGTAGCAATAGCTGGCCTTCTCCGTGCATTTGACTAATCCCCTTTCAAGCCATTGATATTGGCAGCCATCTCAACATCCTGTGGACATGACTTCCATAGTTTAACCACGTGCTGTGTGGAGAAGTCCTTCTTTTTATCTGTCCCAAATCCTTCACCTATCAACTTCATGTGACGACTCTGCCTCCTTGTATTTTGGAGTGGGAATGTTCTCTCTGCTTCCTCCATCCTGTGCCTAATTTGGGACACTGCCATCATGTCTCGCTAGCCCAGAGAGAGTCTTCCTAGTTCTAAGCAGAGCAGCTCATTGCATAGTGTCATGTGGGCTCACATCTTGTTGCCACCGCAGGCTTTAAATAAGCCTCTATTTTAGCTTTGCACTTCCTGCCCCACATATATTTTTTTCTTGTTTTTGCTTAAAATGCTGGTCCTGAAAGGAAATAGCTTGAAAGTGGAGTCTTGATGGGTTGGGTTGGTTCGAATGCAGCAAAAGGATGTTTGTCAAACTTGGTGTCTTGCGGATCCTTCTGATAAGCTGCATTCGGAGGCCTCATTGTGCTTTCTTGGTCTTCCTGTTCTTTTATGCACAACAGGTGGAATGGAGCTGTAAATAGGCCTCATACCACCAAGATCCTGCTCTGTGGCTTTTTTGAAGGTGTAACCATTCTTCGCCTTACTTGCAAAGAGCGGATGATTGAATGAAAGGCGCCTGTGGGTCCACAAGGCACAGACAGAACAGCTCCAACAAAACCCAAACAGTCCTTAACTGTAGCTTCTTGATTCTCTTCAAGGGTAGCTCCGTTTAGAGCGCATTGCAGTAGAGCGAATGTGTTGTAAGGAAGGCAAGGAAAACTCTTAAATAATAAGGGGAGGAGTGGCTTATTGCTGAATAAAGGGTACATAGACTTGTCTTAGTTTTATTTGTGATCTGCCATGGCTGTGAAGAATGGAGCCAAGTGGTGACACTTGCTTTCAGTGTCGCAACAGAATGAATTCTGGCCAGTCGTAATGGCTGAATATGGAGTCACCCCTGAGTGCTACAGGGAGAAACTAGTTTGGAGATTACGTATTGCCAGATTCTGCATTTTCTGAAACTTGACGTCAGAAATGATGAAGAGCCCTGAAATGGACCCAGGAATCACTGGAGGTCCTCCCTTCACAATCCAGCTCTGGAATGCTTCTTTGAGGTTGCAGTTGGCTTTGCTATGGAAGTGGAAAGGCCCTTAGTCCAAACGTGGGGTGAGGCGCATACCTCAGCTCAGTAGGCTTGTGCGCTGGCATAGCGTGGACCGCACTGCTCAAGTGGTGCATGTCTAGATATTTGCATGGTGGCATCCTAGGCTGACTCAGGACTTTCTGAAATGTGGAGGCCACATGAAAAGGATGATCAGGCACTGCTTCTCATGTCATGACTCTCATTTCCAGGGGTACAGAAGCCCCTTCTCTGTGATCTCTGCTGAGTGGCTGCTGAGGGAGCAGAGCAAACTGCTTTTGGTCCATCTAGCTTAGTAAATTTGACCTTGTTGGCAGCAGCTCTTTGGGGTTTCAGGGCAGGGATTTTCTGGCCCCATTAGAGATGCATGTAAGGTGGATGCCCCACCAGTAAGCCATGTGGCAAGATCACCACAAAGGTGTGAAGCCCTCCAACGATTGTCACAATCCCAATTTTCCTCCTGACTCCATCTGATGCTGGACTTTGGGGCTCTTGTGAAAAAGGAAGAGTGTGGCATAAAATTACCCTACCCTGACCCCCAAAGCTTTATTCCCAAGCAGTCCCATACTTGGCCAACATGGTTCCTGGGCTGGGTCCAGTTCTGTTTGTGGCGGAGGCTGCCCAGGAGTCCATGCAGACACTGCCATTCTATTGCCCCCTGAACCTGCAGATGTTCATCTCATAGTCTCAGACTGTTTGCATGCTGTTGGTATCAAGGCCGAAGTCTCTGGGTGTTCTCAGGCATCATGTGAGGAATTCTAACTTGAGAGGAATCTGTACCCTGTGGCTTTGTAAATTACAGAAATCGCTTCTCTTTGCATTTTAACTCTAACTCGGCTGCCAGGTCTTGCTTACACAATCAAGAGTTGTAAGTGAGACAGAATTTGCTGTGAGGGCCAGTCAGAGTTATGACTGGTTGAGCCGATTGGGGAAGGAAAGCCTCCCCTTTCCTCTGATCCCTCTTTGTGGTATCATGTAAGAAGCTGACATAAGAGGACACTATTTCCTGGCCATATCTGAGATATGAATCATGCTTCTTGTTCAGTCATCACTTTCCTCATGACGCTCACCGTAATTGTGATTAAGACAGCAGAATGATTTGGGGATGAGCACATCTTTTCGAATATATTTCCTCCTGGGCCCTTAAGGTACATATGTCTTCTGCCTGGTATTGCTATTGTAGAGGGGTGATGATGCTCATGGAAGGTTGGGCTTGTGCGTGTCAAACCAGAATTTCCCAGCCTGGTGCCTACAAATAAATTGAACTGAATGTTGGGAGTTGTAGTTTGTCACAACTGGAGGGCATCGGTGTGGAGAAGACTGGCCTAGACCTTTGAAGCTGCTGGTATGTTTGGTTGCCAATGTGTGGCTAGTCCTCTTAACATCTGCAAGTTGTCAATAGTGCTTTGACACTATTTGACAGTGGCTCCTGCCAAGAAACAGGAGAATTTATTCCTTAGGTCACCCTCAGATTCTTGTGGCCCGGCCATTTGGATATCATGACCTTCGAGCAGGAGAATTGGTGCCAGAAAGCAAGTCTCTCAGCCGCAGAGTTTGCTTGGAAAATCGACAGATGCTCTAGAATTGACAGTTCCTGGTGGGCTGGGATTCCTGTGTCAGTATGAATCAAAGTCACTGATGTCATAGCAGAAATCCCTGCTGGATGGGTGTAAAAGATGGAGTTGCGTGAATGGCAGGAGGGGCTAGGGGACATAACACGGCAGACCACAGTTTGCTAGCGGGTCCTTATCCTGTTGTATTTTTGACACTTCCGGAATATTTAAGAAGCTAAGTGTGGTAGAGTTCTCATTCAGCTTCTTGTTGCAATCATTGCTACTGGGTAATGTGAGGAAGGGAGCTGTTTCCTCCAATTGGGTTCAGTTTGCAGTGGTTAAGTCCTAGATTAAGTCATCTGGAAGGTGATGGTCCCCAGAACACCAGCTAGCTAAATGGAAACAAGCTCTTCTAATGTGGTTTAGGCCGGACATGCACATGGTGGGCATGTCGTGAGTGGAGCCGGCTGGAGCTGGGGGTCAGACTAGATGGCCCAGGAGACCCCTTCTGACTCGCTCTGTTTCTATGGTTTGTTTCTGCACTTGGATGTGGCTAATTTGCTTTATTTACTGTTTCTAGGAGATGAATTAAAATGCAGCACACAACTTGTACAGAGGACAGGATCCACCATGCATTGGAGAGGTGCCTCCACGGCCTCAGCAAAAGTGCTGCCTGTGGTAGTAGCTGGACAGGTAAATAACTATCAGGACTAATCAGAGATAATTTTCAATTGCTCTTCATTGAAAACACAGCTGAATATTGTTTCTGCCTTCTAGTACCTATACGCTGCCTGAGTTCTACCACTGGTGGTGTTGATTTATGTGCTGCCCGTTGATCCGTGTAGAATCAATTTCACACTTAATCAACAAGCCAAAATGAGTGCTTTTCCTAATCAAAATTCTTGCAATTTCTGCTTCTGGTGCAAACGCGCGTGCCTTCTAGTTGTGGTGCTGGTGATGATGGTGACGCAAATGCTGAACTGCTCAGATTATAGAACAGCTATGGAGAGTTCTCAGCCACGTTCTTCCTTTCAGCCAGGAGCACTTTTGGAGGATGTATACAGAAGGGGTCACATTTGTTGCCAGGCATCTCCAGCTGATAGATGGTTGGGTAGCAGGGCTGGGAAAAACCTTCACATGAGACCCTGGGCAAACTTTTGCCAGTCAGAGCTGCAAAAATCCATGGGCAGACCTGTCAGGTCCTCCCTGGAGGAGGATTCTTCAGATGAGGAGAGGAGGGCCTCAGTCACAGTTAGATGCCGGGGTTGAGGCTGTAGCCAACTGCCTTCTGTCAGAGGAGCAGCCAGGACACTCTTGGGCAGTCCCTGATAGTCTTCAGAGACAGGAGGCAGAGGCAGAGGAAACTCACTCCGTAGAAAGGAGGAGGAGTTCACAGATCCAGCAGAAGTCCAGGACGAACATGGAGCCCCCTGTAAAACAACACACTGACTTAACTAGCCAGCTGTGCTGATTGACAGCTAGCTCTAAATTCGATCAGCCAGAGCCTGCTCGTTGTGGAAAACAAACAACCAGAATCGTTACTGGCATGTTTGGCTTCGTTTAAGGCTAATCGGATTCCTAGACTTTTGGCCTGCTTCCTGGACATTCTTTTGGACATCCCTGCCTGACTTAAACTATGGACCCATAAACTGTACAGCCCTGACCTTGGGACTGAATTGACTGTTTCGTTGAAAGGTAACACAGGGACTTGGCATTTGTGGGCACAGAGCAGGACAAGACCAATGGACTAGATGGATCAGTAGTTGGACTTAGTTCTCATGGTTTATTCATATGGCTTATTAGTTTAAATTATTTGTGGACTGCCTTTCATCATGAAACATGACATGGATTTTTACAAAATGAAACAGATATAAAAAAGTCCTCCAGATGTGTTGGACTTCAACTCCCTTCGTCCCCAGCCTGCATGCCATTCTGCCTATGGATGGTGAGGATTGCAGTCCAACTCATCTGGAGGTCACTGTCTTGGGGAAGACTGCAATAAAGCCACAGTAAAGCATGCAGGAAGCTTCCAGAGTTCAGTCGATCAATGGTACAGGGGCAGTCCTCTGCATTCATTGGCCCCATCTCTGCAGATTTGCTCCTGGGTGCGTGTGGCTCACTGGTGCGGCCATAATCATTTCATCTCTCCAATAGCAGCTCCAGTGGTTTCAAACCCTTATTTTGACAGAGAATCGACACAGGAAATGCTAACCGCAGGCACTAAGTGAGAGAGGCAGCACCAGCTGGAGAAGTAAGCAGTCCTCGAAAGAAAGGCCACTGTAGTTCTGAGAAAGACATTTCCCCGAGCGGATTGCTGGCCTGCAAGTGTGGGCGCTGCCACCACCCAGCTGTGCCGAACGCGCACTCGGGCAAATGTGTGCCAAGCCTGGGCGTTTTGCCACTTCGGGGCCGCACCTGGTTGCCAACCTGCTTCCTGGCTGACGGCGCACGTTGTGCCAAACCAGAGGTGGGGCCACAGCTTCCTTTAGGAGGAGGTGCGAGCTGTCACAGAGGCTTGCACCACAGGCGCTTTTCTGGACTGTGCCAGCCGCAGCTCAGTCTTGCTGATCTTGCCGGCCCCTGGCACGCCGTGGAAATGGCCAGCAGCCAGCGCCAGCGTATGCATACGTTCAGTTAAATCCCTCCGTCTGGAAGCCAGCAATCTAAATGCAAAAACAGCAATCTCCCGTAAGCTCTGTTCAACTCACATGCTTTTGAGGGACGTGTGATCCCCCCGCGGAATGAGCTAGGACTCCTGTAACATTCACAACTAGCTTAGACACAGGAATGCAGCAGGTGCCGAAGAAAGCGAGTGCCTCACCTTGCTCATTGATATCTTGCAGCACAAATCTGTTACAGTACAATCCTGTACATGCTTAAATAAACCTCACGTAAGTTCAATGGGACTTCTTCCCAGGGGTGTGTAGAGCTGTAGCCTTAGAGACATCCCAAGCGGCTTTTTAATATAACTATGACTGTCAAAAGCATTTTCCACAGGGAAGGGGCATTTCATCAGAGGCTAAGAAAAAGCCAAAGAGTGAAAGGCTAATGCTTAAAATTCCCTCGTTCATCACTCTGTTTTACAGAGACTGCTGTGATTTGATGGTAAGCTCAGCAGCAGGGCATGATTTGAATGCAGTGATACATTTGTTCACTAACGCTTTTGTCCATTCCCCAGCAAATACATGATGTTCTATGCTTGCACTTTGCTTCCTTCTGTTTGGCTAAAGGAAGAAAGCAAGTAGTGTGGCTTCTTTGTGGTTTGTGTAAAAAGGAGAAGTTCTCGTCCAGTAATGTACATCAGTGTACTTTACTCCCTTTCATAAGCTTCACTTGCTTACGCACAAACAAAATTGGAAAGCCAGTGTGATGTAGTGGTTAAGAGCATGGGACTGGGACTCAGACAACCTGGGTTCTAGTCCCCGCTCGGCCATGGAGCCAACTGGGTGACTTTGGGCCAGTCACGGACTCTCAGCCCAACCTACCTCACAGGGTTGTTGTTGTGGGGATAAGATGGAGGAGGAGAATGATGTAAGCTGCCTTGAACCCTTTGTAGGAAAAAGGCAGGATATAAATTGGAAAATAAATAAATAAATAAATAAAATTAATTCCCAATAGAGAAATGGTCCAATTCTTATTCAGGGGATTTATTTATCTTCTATACCAGCCAATAGTTGACGTTCTCAGGGCAGTTTACAACAATCTGAATTTCATATTCTTCAAATTATAAGCAACGAAGGTTACAGTGAATGTGTTCCTGTAGGTTCTGTGATAAAAGCAAACACATCCGTACTGCATTTCATGTTATTTCTTGCAAAGTCTCCGTCCAGTTTCCCGAGGCTTAGCCTTGTTAGGGTGCAGTCCTCTGGAGAGAAGCAAAGGCCTCCAGTTGTTGCTTATCCAGCGCAAAGAGGAAGCAGTGGTGCAGTTGCTCTTCAGCTCCCTGGTTCTCCCACTCAGCATTTTTTCTAGACAGCCATTTTTGGCCATATCGAGCAGTTGTCTTGGAGTCAGAGGGAAGGGGCTGGCATGGTCTTGTGCACCCTCTCAGAGGTCACTTTCCTAGCCTTAGTGAGCAGCTGGTGCAGTACTTTCCATGGTGGCTGCAAGGGGGTGCCAGAGGGGAACCACTTCTGGGTTTGGAGTGCTGGCTGAGTCTTGAAGCTGGGAATCCAAATTGTCCTTTACCCCTGATAATTAGGATAATCCAAATTATTCTATGTGTCTATGGGCCATAGGACCATTCCTGTAGCCTGTGGCAGCAAAAACAACAAGTCACAAAGGCTAAAACATCGGTTTTGGCATAAGTTTTCAAGGTCTAGGAAAGCTTATGTCAGAATAACTTTGTTGACCTTCATGGTGCCACAGAACTCTGGTGTTTCATCTACAGTAACTCTTTTTTCAATTAATTTTTTCACAGTGTAGGGAGCTGAAAATTACAGCCTGTGAACTTTCCCAAGTGGGAAGTGGGTGTTGGCTGACTGCCAACTCTCAAATTGCAAATTCTAAGATGATTTGGCTCTGAGCAATGACCTGTCCCCATCCCGAGCTGCTCATCTCCCTGTGTTGTCAGGGCTGTTTCACAGATGAACGACGGCAGAGTATACATGTCACATGTATCCATGGTGAACTGGATATAAACACTGCATTTCAACATGTCTGCATACTGCAGATTCTCCTACGCTGGGCCCTACTTCCTTCTACGTAGATATGTGGTGCAAAAGATAGACTGTTTGTTGCTTCTGCCGCAACAGATTAAAGGAGCAGTCCTATGGCCCTTGGACATTATCTGAGGACGATAAGGTAGTTTGGATTCCCTTGGGGTATTTCTCTGCCACAGACAATATTGTTCAGGAGCGGCACTGCTCATGCTTTGCCGGGTATGACTGTGCTTCTCTGATGAGGACCACAGTTGCTCTCAAACCGGTGCCCTGCCCATGGTGTGACTGTTTCCTCTCTTCTTGGCAGCTGGGCTCTGTCTGAACTGCTGGAGTCTGCAAGAGCTGGTTAGTCGTGAGGCAGGGAACTACTTCATCCTCCTGGAGAAAATCCTGCAGAAGACCCAAGAGGTAAATCAAGGTGGGAGGTGGGAGAGGAAGTTCTCAAGCAGTCTGATGCTTCAGCTGTTTTAGCCCCGGGATGTCTTTGTATGAATACGAATGAAGAGTGTGCTTTCAGCCAAATCTGGTGAATGATATCAGCTTCTGTTTGAGATTCCAATGAAGCTGAATGGTGGGAGAGTCAGAGTGGACCAAAGGAAGTACTGAAGTTCTTCATGAATGAGTGGTCAAACTATGGGCTTCCCTACAACAAGGTGTGGCGATGGCCACCAATTCAAAGGGTTTTAGAAGGAGAGTGGGCAAATTCTGGGTTGATGAAGCTGTGGGTCATGATGGCTGCATATTACCTGCAAGGTAACATTGTTGATACAGGCCTACAAATATCTCCAGAACAAGAAGAAAATAAAGCTTTTAATATCCAGCCCCTATTCAGTCATCAATTAATTCACTAGTTATTAAGACCCACTACTGGAAGCCAATAAATCAGACTGAAAAAGAAGAGAAAGGGAAATCAGATCAAGACAAAACAGAGCAAAGTGAAGGAGAAAGTGGCAAGATACTTTGAACTTTATCTGAGTTAAGGTATGTCGACCATGGCTGAATGCCTGGAGTTTTCCATTAAGCTTCTAAAAATGAAATTAAGTAGGAGATTCAGAAGCTTCCAGATCAGAAAGTATCTTCCAAAATTTGATACAGACCCTCAAAAATGTTTCTGAATCTTCTGGAGTCTGAAACATTTTCATTTCTCCCTGAAAATCAATAGCCAAGATGGCTGAAACTTTATGTGAAAAAGAAGCACCATGTCTCATACCATCCTTCATGCTTTCACAATCCACAAATACAGATATATAAATAAAGTAGTTGTAATTATGTTTTGAAAGCTAGAAATTAGGAGATGGAACAGATGTCAACCAGCTCAGGCCACCGTCCTGGCCAGGAGTAAGCTAGCCCTGATCCTGTTCTTCATGTAGCGAGCAGATGCTGCCGAAGATCCTGTGAGACTGAGGGAGTCATCTGAGCACTGCAGGCTGCTCGGACCTGGCTCTGTGCCGGAATGTGCAGGCTGCAGTTCAGTGCATAAGGGAGACAAGGAGTGAACACCAGCACCTGGTCAGCCCCGCAAGAGTCAAGCAGAGGTTTCCTACTTTCTGCTTTGAGTCACCCCTCCCCCTTAGAGAAAGAGCAATCATCTCAGGCCTTACCATCGTTTGCAGGGTATTGTGAAGCGGAGGCAGTGGCAAAGTCAGGGAAGGAGCTTCCCTCCTTGTGGACTGGGAGGGCTGGCCTAGAGTGGGTCAGGGCAAAGTTGCCGGATTCATTAGGCCGCAGACTTGCCTTTCATTCAGACAGCAGGACTTCCTCACTTCTTAGCAGAGTCCTTGCCCTGGCTAGCCTGAGCTCTCTGCGTGCTAAAAATAGTGTCAGGGCTCAGAGTGCATGAAGCGAAGCGGTGAGGTGGAAGAAACCCAGTCTCTAGCCTCAGGGTCATTATGTCTCACTGTGGCTACTAGTCACCCGAGGAGCCATAGAAGTGCTTCAGTGGAGGAGAGCTGAGGAGGAACCCCGCCTCACCTTTCCAGTAAACTAACCGGCCCACTTCTGCTTCTAGAAGAGTTGAAGATATTTGCGGGGGCTGAGCTGATCTCTGAGCTCGAGTGGCAGATTTTTGTAGGGGATGCTGTTTTCCAGTGACTGAAGCAATGGAGCCACAGTGCAAGTCACTTAGGATGGAGAAACGGCTTCCTGTTCCCTGTGCTAAGACACGGCCATCCCTAACTTGGCATCTTCCAGCTGACTGGTCTACAACCCCCAGCTTCCCTGACCACTGGCTGTGCTGGCTGGGGCTGATTGGAGCTGAAATCCAAATTACCAAGGGGGAAGGTTTAGGGAACGCTGAAGCAGAGAATACTGATGAGGAACCCACTGCAGTTCTCCAGTTGTTTTTTGCTTGTTTCACTTGCAGCCTATAGTTGCAAGAGTGTTGATTGGATCTGGCAGTAGGGAACACGCCTTGTCGGTGATGAAACACCCCCGTTGCTTTCAGATGTAATTCGGAGTGTTTGGTGTTGGCCTATGAAGCCCTGTATGGCTTAACCCTGGGCTGTCTAAGTGCTGCCACTTCCCATTTGTGAAGATGATTTCACTGTGGAAAGATGCAGACAAACTGGGCAAAATTCAGAAGAGGGCAAGGAGGGTGGTCTGAAGACCATCAGGAGAAAGTGAAAGAACTGGGCATGTTTAGCCTGGAGAAGAGAAGAGAGATATGGGCGCCCTCTTCAAGTGCTTTAAAGGTGGTCTCACAGGGAAGGCCGGGATCTCTTCTCAGTCATCCTGGAGTGCAGGACACTGGATGATGGGCTCGACTAGGCATCACAAAAATTTTACTGACTGTTAGAGCAGTGTGACAATGGGTCCGAGTACCCCAGGAGGCTGTGGACTCTCCCACACTGGATGGGACTGGGCAGCCATCTGAGCAGGATGCTTTAACTTGGAGTCCTGCAGTGAGCAGAGGGGTGGACCTGATGGCCTTCTTGGCCCCTTCCAACTACTATTCGATAATTTTCGGAGGCCCTTTCCAAGTGCCTTGCTCAGAGGAGGACGGGGGGGAGGGGGGGGCTGGAGAGTGAAGCCTTTGTGGCAGGGCCAAGGTCAAAGGTAGGGATGGCTGAGCATTTTCTGAGGCCCCTCACGCTGCCCAGCAGGACCTATGAACAAGAACCCAGAGGAGGTGCTCTTCTTGTCGCCACTGCATCCTGCTTGTTCTCCTGCCTCCTGCTCTGCCTCAGACAGTGGTGGTGGCGGCGGTGGCGGTGAGGAGCTGAAGAGATGCCACGGCCTACTTACTCCCTGGCCCTTGGCCTGCCAAGCTGAGTCACGTGCCCGATGTACTTGTAAAGCTTCTAGATATGTGTGGTTTCTGGTGGTTTTTGTTTAAACGGCTTAACAAACTTTGTTTCCCTCTTGTGCATGCTTTCGCAGGTCCAGGAGCAATGCAACTATGATCTCCTTGCTCCACTGGCCCTTCTGTTCAGCTCAGCTGTCCTGTGTGTAAGTTCTGGGGGATTTTTTAAAAAGAGAATCTAAGAAACAGAAGGAAAACACACACTAGGTTCATCCAAGGGTTTGCCAGGTTATTCTTTACCCCACAGAAGAGCCATGCTCGGGAGGTGAGAAAGATTTCTGATCTTATCTGGAGGAATGAATTGAAAACACATTATAGCAGCTCATACCAAAGGCAGCCTTTCTTTCCATTTCATAACCTGAATGAGAACTGGCACAATGCTTGAGCCATGCCAGTCTGTGCCTTTAAAATGCACAGAAATGATTCCTGCAGGGTTGCAGAGCACCCAGCTCCGGCCAGGATAATGGGGTGGGCAGGGCCGCACCCCTGGCATAATCTGCCAGACTGGGGGGGGGCTATCTGGCCTATTACTACGAACACTCCTGGATGACTCATTTACTGGGTGCTGTACAACTGATATTTCCATTATTCCTTTCCCATCACATTTATACCCTGCCTTTTTCCCTCTTGCAAGGAACCCGGGATGTTAGGCTGAGAGGCTGTGACTGGGCCAAAGTCATCCAGTGATGCTCATGGCCAGCCGGGGACTAGAACTTGAATTGCCTGAGTCCAAGTTCATGAAAGCTTAATATGTAATTTAAATGACTCCCAGTCCTATAACATCTCTGCTCAGAAGTAGGCCCTACAGAGTTCAGCGAGGCTTACTTCCTGGTCAGCATGCCTGGAACTGCAGCCTTCACTTTTCCCCTTTAGATCCCCCACTTTCCTTCCAATTCTGATTTGCTTCTACGAGCCTTGAGGACGTACCGTGGCTTCCTCACCTGGCCTGTGCCGTACTGTGACATCTGCCGGGAGCTACTGACCTTCATCAACAATGAACTCAAAGCTCCAGGTAGGAATCTAAGTCCTCCGCCGTGGATGGATTCTTTCAGCCCTTTGTGGGACTGACTGCATCTGCCTTTCAAGGGCTGGGGTTTAGCAGGAGGCCACCTGCTTCTTCGGGGCCCGGCATCTCCAGGAAGGGTTACAGGAACTCTTGCCTAGGCTTTTCTTACTCTTCGCACTGCCAGCTAGTGTTGCCTACTTTATTGAGGTAGAGGGAGCAAGAGTCCGGCCCGGTATAAAGCTGGTTGTGTTGGGGAATAAAAGTTGGTGTTGATGCATGATGGAGATGCTGAAAGCTGCTGCACAGACAATTGCAGGTCGTAGGGTCATGGAAGCTTGTGCGACATACTGAAAGGGTGTGAGTTGCATGCCTCGCCCAACAGCTATGGCCACAAATGCCGGTTGCTTTGAACCTACTCACAGCTGCATGGAATCATGCGGAGACTGGCAGAAGGACAAGACCTGTGCCAGCCCTCTCTGCAGCCGGCACAGCGTCATAGGAGATGCCCCCTAGGTGGGCCTGTGTTACTGCAGGAACTGCATGCCAGGGATGTGGGCTGCAACTCCTCCATTTGTCATGTTGGCTGGGGCTGATGGGAGGTGTAGTGCAACGACATCTGGAGAGCTTTTACCCATCACTGCTGCATGTCATCGTTGTACGTTCTGAGCACCAGGCCGGCATGTGGGCAAGGGCCGCTTAAGATAGGGCTCTCTCCTCAGTTGGGGAAATCTCTTTCTATGAGTGGTATTCGCTCTGCAGCAAGAAAAGTCCTTTGTTTCAGGGTGTGCTGTTGTGCCATAGCAAGGCTTGAGAGGCGCTTGCTTGCTCCTTCGCGAAAGCTGCATCCACAGCAATACTTTGTCACCTTCCATTCATGGAAGTGCTGATATTTTAAAATCCAAGACATACATCCAGATGTTTAGCCTTTTTTTCAGTTTTATTAAAATAATTTAATCTTTCAAAGGTTGCAGCCCTATCACCCTTAGGTTTTACATGCACACTGTGAAGATCAGTTCAAGAGGAACATTTGTGTTGGACTCTTGATGGGTTCAGTAATGCTTCTGTAGTAGTAGCAGCAGGTTGAGTCTTTTGATATATTTCCACACTACTTTTTAAAAGCAAGTCCTCACAAGGAAGCTTAAAATAAAAATGTGAAAACTATCACATAATTCAATTGACAGCATATAATATACAGGGGACAGAACTTATTTGTATCATTATTTCCTATTACTTAGGATTAGTGTTTCCAGAAGAGTAATCATGTCATTTCTTATTTATGACATTGCATTTCTATCCCATGTTTTCCCCCTTGCAAGGAACTCACATCAACTCACATAACCCTCCTCTTCATTTTATCCTCACAACGATCCTGTGAGGTAGGTTAGGCTGAGAGTCCGTGGCTGGCCCAGAGTCACTCAGTGAGTGATTCTAAAGGTAAAGTAAAGGTAAAGGTTTCCCCTTGACGTTAAGTCCAGTCATGCCTGACTCTAGGGGGCAATGCTCATCTCCGTTTCCTAGCAGAGGGAGCCAGCGTTTGTCCACAGACAGTCTCCGTGGTCATGTGGCCGGCATGACTAAACACCGAGGTGCACGGAACCCTGTTACCTGCCCACTGAAGTGGTACCTTTTCATCTACTTGCGTTTACATGCTTTCAAACTGCAAGGTTGGCAGGAGCTGGGACGGAGCAACGGGAACTCACCCCGTTGTGCAGATTTGAACCAGCAGCCTTTCGATCAACCAGCCCAGCAGCACAGCAGTTTAAACCACTGCGCCACCTGCAGTCCCGTGAGTGATTCTAGTGGGGGACTAGAATCCAGGTCAATGCACAAATAACACATGAGCTGATTGGCTGCAGGGGCCAGATGACCTGGCCTCCAGCCCACAAAGGTTTATGCTCTGATATATGCGGTGATCATTAACAACTTTGCTTTCGCACTTCCAAGTGCATTTTGGGTGTTCCGGACTTTTTCACGCACGCCAGCGCATCTTACAACAGCCCTGCATGATATGGCAGTGTTGTTCCTTGTGGAGGGCCAAGTGAAGAGTGGCATGCCCAGGCCGCTTCGTGCGTTCCTGGCTGAGGCGAGATTACAGCCAGGGGAGCCGGAGCTTTCCTTGTAAACCCCTTCTGTGCACCAACGCCTGCCCTTCCTTTAGTTTGGTTTCCATTCCAGGGTAGCATCTCTTGCATAAGCTACTTTGCCTGACAAAATGCACACAGTCACTGCCTTTGCTCTTCGCATTCAGGGTCTTGTGAATTCCCGAAGAGCAACAGGTGATCCACTCAGGTGGCTTTGAACTTGGAGTGGGTGACCGTATCAGATAATTCCTGGATGATATGTGGAGACCAGAGCTCTCTCCCAGGAGCCTCCTGTGCAGCCTTGGCCTAATGAGCTTGGGCTTGGCTGCTGCTGCTGCTCATCACCCCTCATCAGAGTTCTTGTGCTCTTATGCAAGGAGAAACTTCTTAATTAGGCTGCCCTGGCAGGCAGCCTTCTGTTACTGCTCATTAAGCAGTTTCTGAAATTAAATAAAGAGGCGTTCTGAAAGTGCCTCCATGTCCTGGACTGTTTCTCCAACTGGGAACAGATCTAACTCCATGTCTCCCCTGGAACACTCTATTCATGCAATTAGCGGAGCAAACACAGCCTGTACCTGCTGATCTGCTCGGGCTGCTGACTCGTCGTTTCTGCTGCCAGGCGTTCAGTTCATTCATGCCCAACTTTCACCACTTCATGCAAACTAGTTCTGCTGCTAGCAGAGCCAGAACTTCAGCTTTCCCCAACCTGCTGTTCTCAGAGAAGTAGCACTGCAGTTCCCATCAGTGGCCTAGGGAGGATGAGATGGGTATTATAGCCAAACATACCTGGAGGATACCAGGCTGGAGAAGGCTGCTTCAGAGAGTGGGATTCTTTGTTATGTAGCGCCCACAGTCATTCTTCTGATGCCTTTGCCAAAGGGGGATGCAAACCCCAGGTGCCCCAGAGCCTACAAAATATCTGGCTTGGTGACTGGCACCAACTGTTGGTCAAAAAGCAGAGCTACACCGAAGATGACCTTCAGGGTGTAACATTCAAGTGGAAGCTCTGTCATCCTCTGCAGCCTTCCCCAGCCTGGCGTCCTCCAGATGTTTTGGATTTACGTCTAAAGCATCTGGAAGAGCTGGCCAGATTTGGGAAGGCTGGTCTTCTGCATCTCCGTGATCCGAATCTGGAAGGCCCCACAGAGAACTCAGTGATAGTGCTGTGATATTTGACAACCTATCATTCTTGTTTAAAGATGTCAATGAATTGCTGAATTACATTCCTGCATCCTGGAAGCTATATTCTGGCCACCTCCAGTAGACTATAGGAAACCTCATGGGCTGAGACACACATCCTACAGACAGTACATCTCATTCAACCGCACAGTGGGCTGAAGAACTCACAGCAGCGGCACCCTGTGAGAGAGTATGCTGCTGATGACAGCTTTGTCTCAACACTCATTCCGATGTTTGGTCAACCTGCCACAACCTATGTTAGTGACATGGGGCAGGAACATTGAATATATGTGTGTACAGGAGTGTGCGTATATGTATACATTTACATTATTAATAATACTTTCAAGGTCAATGTATACATCTCTGGTCATTGCCGTGTGACTTTAAGTGTTCGTTTTCCTTTTCTTTTTCTATCAAATAAAAATCATAAATAAAAAGCCTTTGCTCTCTTTACAGGGATTTCATTTCAGCGACTGGTTCGGGCAGAACAAGGGCTCCCGTCCAAGAGCGGCGAGAGTGCCATTGTGTAAGTATCCTATAGAAATCCGTGGCTTATCTTAATCATGAGAGGAAAAGACCTTTGTGGGATGCTCTTTGCCGCATATTCCTTGGGCTTCTTCTGGTCAGTGCTCAACTTCCACATTCATTGTAAACAAAGCTCATTGCTGGAAGGTAAGAATGAATCAAGGGACCACTGAGCACATGCAGGGTGCATTGCCTTCTGAGTTGGGAAATTAGGTATCCCCACAGCCAGACCAGAGGCAGGAGGTGATGTCTCTGGCAGGCTTCAGAAATTAAGCACTATGGCTGTTTTCTGCCCCCTCCCCCACCCGCCCCGAGCTAGGACTGTTTTTGTCGCCTAAGCCAGTCTTCCCCAACCTGATGCCCTCCAGATGTTTAGGACTATAGCTCCAAGCATTCTGCACCATTGGTCATGCAGAGTGGGGCTGGTGGGAGCTGAACTCCAAATCATCAAGAGGGTATCAAGTTGGGAAGGGCTCCATCTTAAGCACTGGGTAGCATTTCCTTCCTTAGTTTCCTTCCTTGGCTTGCTGCCTCTTCCAGAGCTAGTTACATTAATGTGAATTGAAGCATTAGATAGAAACAGGCATCTTAAAGCACTTCCAGAAAGCTTCCCTTTCTGTAATTTCTCACATTCACCAGTGCAAAGTGCTCTTTACTTCTGATTAGTGATGAATGAATCTGTTAATTTTGGTTTCTTTTGCATTCCCATTTTTACCTGTTTGTTCTCTCCCATTTCTGAATTGGATTAGCTATTTTTTTAGAAATCCATATGAAAATATGTATGTATTTTCATGCACATTTCTTATATAAGAAGTTTGTATGAATTGCTACCAAATACGCATGTTTTTGCAGCTGCTTTCCCCTAATATAATACATTTTTGCATTCCTCCCTCAAGTACATATGCTTTTTATGTGTGTTTTAAACTAGAGAATGGCATGTAAAATTTGGAAAAGTGTGCATCTCAGAGCAGAATCATGTTACCATGTTTCAGCTTTTCTGTTCATTTTGGAAGTACAATTTAGACACATTCACGTTTAAATCCAAGCCAGACCAATGCCTCCCTCATCCTTACTTCAGATCCTGCATTCATTCTCTTTGCTAAGCCAGGATTTAGAAAAAAGTTCCTTGTGCCTGCACAATATACTGTGCAAGCTGTAACAATCCCATGGCCACATTTCAGATGTGGATGCTTGTGCAGCAGCTGCTTGCCTTGACAGTCTTTTTGTTAAAGGAAGTAGCGATGAATGCCTTCCCTTCTGGTCTGCAGCAGAAATAATTTGGAGAGCCGGGTTATTTTTGCCAGCTGACCTCCAGGTGTGGGCTGGTATGTGAGGACTGGTCTCCACAAAGCACCCCAACATGTGAGCACGATTGCCCTGTGGCCCCAACATCACGGTGTGTGGCAGCAGTTGCGCACTCTGGCAGGCTGTCCATGAGGCGATTGATAGTGCTGCTGGTGCTTGTGGCAGCATCTACAGTAAAGCCTGGTACCCTCCAGATGTTTTAGCCTACAGCTTCTATCTGCCCCAGCCAGCATGGCTCATAGTTGGGGATTATGGGGCTGAAGTCAAAAACTTCTGGAAGGCACCACATTGTTGACCCCTGATTAGGGTCAAGTGGGAGCCCATGATGGATCCCTGGAGGCCTCCTGCCCACTTCACTACACTGAGGCAAATTTGGGAAGGAGGCTAAGGTGAGAAGCCATGAATCAAAGCAGGTGCATTCATGAATCAGTGCAGGTCAAGCATCTGTCTCTGCAGTTGCCCAGATGTGAGCTTTATTTGATCTTACTTATTTATTTAAAACATTTTTATGCCGCCCCCATCGCAACAAAGCCTCGGTGCAGTGAGTGAGGGTTGTTGTTGTTAGTCGCGAAGTCGTGTCCGACCCATCGCAACCCCATGGGCAACATTCCTCCAGGCCTTCCTGTCCTCCACCATCCCCTGGAGTCCACTCAAGCTCACACCGACTGCCTCAGTGACTCCATCCGGCCACCTCATCCTCTGCCGTCCCCTTCTTCTTTTGCCATCTGTTGTTCCCAGCATTAGTGAGTGAGGGTAGCCTATGAAATTAGGGGCCTGTAACCTCCCTTCCTTTTCAGGCACCATGGATAGGACAGAGGGAGAGCTAGTGGTACCAGCTCAAGACATTTCTCTACAGGATCCTAGAATAAGACATCTGTTGGCACCTTCAAAGCACAAAGAGGCCAACAAGCAGCCCACATACAGTGGAAACAGTTACCTGGAAAAATGATGCCCTCTGCCGGGTCTTCAATGTGAAATCATGGCAGTCAATTGTTGACCATACTGCATTTTTCTTGGGTCATGCAGAGCTGTAATAGTGGACCAAGGATGATCCTTTCCCAACTTGGTGGCATCCACATATGTTAGGCTGACTCTCTAGGCACTCCCAGCAAGAATACTATCTGGGGATGATGTGCGTGGTAGTCCAGCACTTCTGGCAGGCATCAGGTTGGGAATGGCTGCCACAGGTTTTGAAACTGGTCAGGACTCCCATGGCAGGTCTGCTGCAGGCTCTCACGCCAAGATGAGGTTCCCTTGGTTCCTAACGGTGTCGCTGTCCTGTTCTCCCCCCAGAACAGTCCTGTTGTTGAACCCTTCAGAGGTCGATGAGGAATTTCTATCAGTTGCCGAGAAGCTGAGCACCACAGAATATTCCCAGCATGCACTCCTGGTCATGCTTGTGGAGCACGTCTACCAGGCCAACCTTGGGACCAAATGTGACCTGGGAAGACTACGACACGCTCTGAAGGTAGAGGAAGGTTTGGATGTGTCAGTGTGTGGAATGTGCGGATGCCCCTCTGCTAGGCAAGCTGCAGCAGTTCTTGCCTCCTTTTCGTGCCAAACGAAGTGCTGGCATGGCTAAGAAACTGACCTGGATAGAAGATTTTGGAATGAAAAGCAAGTACTAAATTACTTAACCTGCACGGAAGAGGTGACGCCCTTGAAGTTGTTAATGGCTGCGAGAATTAATGGTTTCCCCCAAATGACAGCAGTCTTTTTCATTGTGTGCACTTGCAATGCAAAATATTTCCCCTTTCCATGAAGAATTTGTTTTCTTGCATTGATGGCCAGGTAGAGAGGCTTATAGGTGTGCTTATGGCACATACCTTGCAAGAGGGATGCTGAATGTGAGAAATTACTGCACTAGCACTGTTGATGCTGACAGGCAGTGGGTCTTGCATTTTTTCTTTCCCAGCCGTTGAGATCTTTTCATTGAGGATGCCAGGACCTCATAGTCAAAGAGCCTGCATCACTGTGTGTGGGTTGAAACCAGACTTGGTCATATTCAGAGCAGGCCTGTGAGTTAAGTAGGCATGATCCTGTCACTTTAAGAATACAAGGCTTAGCAGAGATGCATGAAAGAACCAATAGAAGGCCTGGTTGATTCATAAGGTACCTGATGGTCCATCTCTTGTGTTCTGCAAATGCAGATCAGTGGCAAGTTCCTGAGGCAATGTCTTCTTTTCGGCTGCTGCAGAGAAAGCTCAGTTTTCCTCATTTGCATATTTTTGGCTTTCTAATATTAAAGTTGCTCTCCTCTGTCCAGTGAGTGAATCAGCTGTAGCCATGCATGCAGTTCAAAAAATGATTGTGTGAATGTCTCAAGCATCTGTTGCTTTGGCCAAGTGCTTACAGTATCCCTTGTGAGCTGTGATAACCAATCCTGCAACTATGTTTTCAGTTTTTCCTCTTCTGCAATAGGCTGCATTTGAGTTAACTTATAATAGCTCTGAGCAAAGTGACCATGCTTGGGCTCATAACCAGTCAAAGAAATTATTTTAGGGCCTGAACATCATTCAACTGATGTTACTCCTAAAAGTTCAACCAGTTTTTCAAGACTGTCATCCTTACTTTTCATGTTTAGTAAGGATTACTTTTCAGTGTTAACATCTCTAGTAGATTGCACCTTTACTCTTGTGTAAACAATTCCTGATGGAGGGGGTTACATCTCCTGCCTTATTTCAAACTTCTTAAAATCAAGGTTTGTATTTGTATCTTTGCTCAGTGCCAGGGCAAAATGCTTCACATTGTGAGTCCGGTAGGAGCTCTCAAGTAATTTTAAGGAAACAAAGAACAAACACACACAAGGAAATGCCAGGAAGGCTCCCCTAGGCTAGTAGGTGGCCTCCTTTCTCTCCTGCTTCCTCCTGCCCCAGTTCCAGGCTGTATATTCTCCCATTCTCATGGTGAAGATACAGCTTGCTTGAACATTGCAGTTTGCAAGCTTCGGTATTCATGCCCACCCTTGGCGAAACCATTGCCCCACCTCATGCAGGAAAATGAGGTGTAACCTTGCTAATACCGAATCCGGGCCAGCCCCACGTAAGTTATGAGAGGGACCAGCTACAACAACACCAGCAACCTGCAAAAATACCACTTCATTGCCAAGTGTGAAATAGCATGTGAAGGAGCTCAAGGCAGACTTGTGTGCGGTGAGCCAGAGAGGCACCAGCTGTGTCTTGCTGGACCTCAGGGGTGGCTAACCATGTGCCGCTGCAAGCGCAGTGCACTGTGAGAAGAAGCCGAGTGGCGTGTGACAGGCGTGCCACACCCTGTGGAGCCAAGCCCCGCTTTTGCTGATGGGCGTTCTCTCTCTCTCTCTCTCTCTCTCTCTCTCTC